CCTCCTCCTATTTTCCCCACAACAACAACTCTGTGAGGTGAGTTGGGCTGAGAGAGAGTGAGTGGCCCAAAGTCACCCAGCTGGCTTTCATGCCTAAGGAGGGACTAGAACTCACAGTCTCCTGGTTTCTAACCTGGTGCCTTAACCACTGGGCTGAGAGAGAGTGAGTGGCCCAAAGTCACCCAGCTGGCTTTCATGCCTAAGGAGGGACTAGAACTCACAGTCTCCTGGTTTCTAACCTGGTGCCTTAACCACTGGGCTGAGAGAGAGTGAGTGGCCCAAAGTCACCCAGCTGGCTTTCATGCCTAAGGAGGGACTAGAACTCACAGTCTCCTGGTTTCTAACCTGGTGCCTTAACCACTAGACCAAACTGGCTCTTATTAAGTAAAAATAAATGATTTCCAATTACTGTGGAGAAATATTTTTGAATTATATAAAGAATAATCTGACTCATTGCAAAGCCTATGCAGATCCTAATGAGTTGTCCATTTTACTGATCTTTTGAAAGTTAAGTTTGTTCTAATTACTAATTTATTTAATTTCCATTTTATTATGTTAATCATTACTTACAATATCTTTCAGTTTGGAATCTTATGAAGAACTAAAGGAGAAATATTGAGAATTCAATTAATTTCAGTACTATTTAACTGGATCTCCTTGTATTTGGACTTTGTCTAATGACTAGAAATAATTAGGAGGTGAAAATTATATACATGCATTTGCCCTCTATATGTTTTCAGTCAGTGGTTATCAATCTCCTTACCTTTAATACTAGTTCTCCTATCAGTCCATTCCAAGTCCCATTCTCCAGTGGGAGTCCATATTTCTGATCTGGTGCAACATAAATTTCATATGTGAAGCCGAGGTAAGTAGATAAGGATTCCAAGACATCAATTGAGAAGCCCTGATATTTCTTTGGTTTGCCCAAAACATTTTCTGACACCATCACAAATGGTTCCTCCTATACAGAAAAGAAAAAGAGTCACACTTATGGCAAAGGAAACTAATATTTTCAAACCTTATTTTTTCACTATTCTTTATCCCAATTTCCTCTCCTCATTTCCTTTCTAAATTTGCAGAAATTAAATAGTTTACTGATGGATTCTGGTGTTTCGAAGTTCTCAATCCTAGGCTATTATTTCTATTTCATGTAGCAAAGGAAGAGGTTTCCTGTTATGAGATGTAAGGAAGCTCAAGTCTAGAGGCAGAATGAACTTCCTCAATTCTTGATGGTCAAATAAGAGTACTTCAGATAAGTAGTAATGTGTTTTACTATATTCCATTAAAAATAACAATTTTTAATAGTATATTTTTGTTTTTACATTTTTTATCCTGCTTTTCTTATTTGTATAAAATAACTCAAGGTGGCGAACATACCTAATACTCTTCCCTCCTCCTATTTTCCTCACAACAACAACCCCGTGAGGTGGGTTGGGTTGAGAGGGACCAATTGGCCCAAAGGCACCCAGCTGGTTTTTCATGCCTAAGGTGGGACTAGAAATCCCAGTCTTCTGTTTCTAGCCTGATGTCTTAACTGCTAGACCAAACTGGCTACCCAGTTATTAACTAATACATTATAAATAAATAAATAACAAATAAATATAAAATATAAAAATAAAATATAATCAATAAATAAATACAAATAAATACAAATTAGTTGTCTAATTTGCTTGGAAAGCATGTTTCATAAACATATCAATGAGGTCAAAGAGTATACAAGATATGGCCTATGCATTGCAGTCATCTGAATGTGGCCCCATTACACTGAAGTAAATATTCCAATTCTGCAAAGTGTGATTATTATGAAGGAGTATGAACTTCTGGACAGAGATCATCAGAATGCAGCTAAACTCACTGAATGCACCTTTAGATGTAAGTGGAACTATGCATCCTCATTCAGAGTCACAAGGCATACAATTATATGAGTGACAGAGTTGGTGATGAATACTCTTGTACTAATCCAGGACCCTCCTTCTCATGCTGGATAATAGCCTTCAGCATATATTGAAAGTATAGTTATGTTACTATATGCAGCCCTGCTGGATCAAGCCAAAGACTTATGTAGTTCAGAAAGATACAGAATGGTCAAATAAATGCATCTGGGAAAAGTACATGCTTCCATAGAAGGGCAACAGCCCTCTTCTATTGTTCCCTATTAATTGATATTTAAGATGTGCTGTCTGAGATTCAGTAAATAGTCTTTAAAACGGGTAGCCGTTGACAGCCCTATCCTCCATGACTTTATCTCATCTTCTTTTAATATAATCTAGTGGTGGCTTTTCTGTACGTCAAATTCTATGGGTTGAATAAGAAGGACTTCCTTTCATTGGTCCTGCATCTTTCCACATTTAGTCTCAATGAATGATTCTAACTTGGTGAGAATGGAGAATTTTTCTCTCTCTTACGTTCACATCATAATGATTTTATATGCCTCTGTGCTGTTTCCCCTAGCTGCATTCTCTGTAAACTGAAGATCCCCCGGCACCATAGCCTGTCTCTGTAGAAGAACTACTTTAACCCCTTAATTGCTTTTGCTGTACATTATCTTCCTTCCTCTACTGTATCCACTTTGAGATGTACCATTATATTGGTAGTTTTATTTTCAGGGCCTTCCCAAGGACTCCTAACATGGAATTTGCTTTTGTGAAATCACCAGCTGCAGTTGTTGTCCAAACCAGAGCACAAAGTTAGCAGTTGCGTCACAGGAATCCCCCTACCACACAGTTTGTATCCCAGTTTGCTCCGTAGTTAATCCAACTATGCCTAGGGAAACCGCTTTCAAAACGGTCTTGCTATGTCTCATCTTAATTTCCATAGCTGACAAACTGCAGTTTTTACTCTAGTAACTGTAAAAAAGTAAGGAAAACTTTTCATATTATTCAGTAGGTCTCTGCACGTGTCAAATTGTCTACCTTGCAATGTTCGGTTTTCATATTTAAGTTCTAGCTTCCACGTTCAGAATTATTGGTCTGAACTATTTCGAATAGAGCTAAGAATGATTACATGGCAACATAACAAAACTTAATCCAAGGAACTTTATCATTCTGAAGTCATTATGCAAGAAAAGAATATCATGATCACCCAACTGTATTTTAAATCACATATATAGTATCTCAAAACAGATCTTAGGGAACTACTTAGGGTTTTGTTTTTTTTTTTTAGTTTTAGGCAACAGTTAGTTTTCTATACAGAGTATACTAACAGTGAAGTGACAGATAGAGTTACTGCAACACTGAACAGCAAGCTTATTATATATAAACACATTCTGAGTTAGTACAGATCAAAAAGATGGCTTGTTTCTCTGTTCAGTAAATCTTATCTGCTGCAGTTAATGAAAGCCTTTACACGCACACAGGGAGAAATATACTTATATACAAATCGTTTACCAATTTGATACATTATGTACAACATTCCTTAGACCTCTTTAGAAACAGAGTGATTCAGATGATAATCTTCACACTAGCAAAGATTTATTCCTAACTCCTTTCTTGGGATAGTAGATAATAGCAGTTCATAATTCAGAATTTGTATTCAGGCAGTTAAAAGTGACCACTAATTGCTCATCTGATAAGATTTTTGAAAAGGCTTGTACAGCTTTGCTGCTCATGCTCAACTTTCAGGAAACCAAGGACAAAAGTAGGTGGAGAACTTAGAGTGGATTCTACTATACAACAGTTAGCCACAAATTACAGATTCCCAAACTGTCAGGGTATTAACATTTTGCTCAAGCATGACGTGGATGACTTTTCAACTCTTGAGCTGATTTATTATGTTTCATTTTTCAGAGCATCCAAATGCTCACTCCAGATGCTAGGCTCCAGGGGAAGTACACATGGCAAAATCTTTGTGCTTGAATTTTTTTGCAAAGAATGCTCATTAATATGGTCATTTCTGCAATGACCAAAGAGCTCTACTAAAAAATTTGATATCTCAAGTAACGTGTGTATGCTGGAAATGAAGGATACATTCACACACACCGCACACACACAAACACATCCATTTCCTGCCTGCCTGCCTGCCTTGATGTGGCTAGAACTCCATGCATCAGCTGAAGTAGACACTTATCTCATAATACACTTATGTATTTGGCATAGCAGTTTCCCTTGATTTGCTGCAATTGATTAAGGGAATTACATTTCCAGAATCTGGTGATCAGTGAAGCCCTGAAGGGGATTCTAAACATCCCAGGTCATTCCAATTCAAGAAAACACCCTACGCTTCTTTTTCTGTTATCTCAGCTTGAAGTTAGAGGCTCCTTCTTCAATTTTTTCAAATACAGAGGATGATGGTTTTATATATATATTCAACTATGAGGCTTCAAAAAGTTGTTCTTTACATCCAAGGTTAATAACAAGCTGGGATGGAGCAGAATTAATCTGGTCTTGCAAAGCTTCTTGAAACCATAGTTGGCCTTAGATCCTGATGTAAAGCCATCTTGTTGAGTTTTATCTCAGACCATGTAATCTTCCACAGTGGGCTCTCCAGAGTCCTGCCAGAGCCAATGTATTCTTCCCTGTCTATTGTCTAGAGTACCAAATCCATAGCTGGCTTCTGCAGGACCCTCAGGAGATCAGGGCAAAGATTATTTCTATAGAGTTTCAGAAGAGGTGCAGATTAGCTACTCTTTTCATCACTTTGTTTACTAATGCTGCTTTGTTTCATTAAATAAATAAATAATAACAAAAGAAACTGTGGAGCTAATGAACCAATCTTGATATTGATTAAAAGCATCTAGGTGCTTTTAGGAAATTCTCTTGAAATATTTAATCTTTGAATGAAAATCGGCTTAAGGTCATTTGTAACACACAGCTGTGTCATTATTTTGTGCCTGGTAAAGTGGATATTTTTCACAAATAATAGATTCTGATCAACCCCAATCCTTTCCATCTTCCTTCTGGAGATAAAGGGTAGTTATTTCATTATCTCACATGCTTGACGATGATCAAGATAAAAAGTATGCCTGTCTTGATATGGCTAGTAAAACCATGTATGATAGGAAGAATTTTTAAAAAGGCAATCAGTAGCACAACTGAGTGGCAGATCTTCCTTAGACTTTACCAAACACAATAATATCCTGATAGTTTGTTGCTCATGAGTATACATTCAGTTAGGAAACTTGGTTTGCTCTATAGCTTCACTGACATTCTTGTTGGGTTACAGAGAATGTGCAGAAGAGATTTTTGCTGACCTCAATTTACACATCCCTGGTAAGGAACCAGAAGACTCATGTCTTTATATTCCTTGCATGAAATGTCAGGAAACAAGTAACAGGGAAACACACACACACACACACACACACACACACACACACACCAGTCTCAGAGCAGCAGTTTCAAAGAAGCTTTCT